TAAATTTGTATTTAGTCTGAGATTCTCAATGGGATCAAAGGGAACTGGCCTCTAAATCTAAGCACTCATACTTTATAGTTAATTTTGACATTATATTTAGTTTTATGTTTTCAAATATTCTATATTTATATTTCTATACTGAACATGAATAAATTGTTTGATTACTAGAATTGGTTTTGTAATATTAGAACTGCTGTAAATAAATTATCAATTGGAGAATAATTATTGCTGTGCTAATATATAATTCATGATACGGATCACTACAGATCAATATTCAACAATCTTCACCAACAATACAATTAGTCTAAACTCTAAATGTTTAATTTTACAAAATTTACTAACTTTCTGATTAAATTAGTGGAAATGTAAATTATATTTTTGTTTTGTACAAGAATTAAAACCAAATTTGGTCTAAATTTAAATTTACACATTTTACAATACATATATTTCTCAATGAGTGTAAATAATTAACTTAAAGTTAGATAAGATTCACTGTATCTGTATATTAAAAATAATTTCTTTATTCCCGGTATACTTACACCTCTTAAGCCTAATCCGTCTAATTGTACTGATATCTGGTATACTGATTGTCGTACTGAGTATTATAACCATTTGTGATCTCTTGTTTATTATCATTATTTCTCACGTTTTCCCCGATACTTAAATAAGTCTTCAGATTATCGCTAATAAGAGAAACGTTTCCATTTTTGTTGTCAGAACCCGGCTTCACCTGAGCATTCATTAGGACCCTCTGTCTGTCCAACCATTTCCTGTACTCAATGGGCGCCTCTCCCCACCAGACCAACAACTGGTGATACATGTCGAGTATAGATACGCCCAGCCATAGACCCAATAGCCCTCCGAAATAGCAGACAAACTCGACGAAAATCACTTAAATATAAGACAAATAAATGATAATCAATGACATTTAATGTCTAAATGTTTATAATCACTTTCGCGAGTGTGCTCATAGGTAATGTCGGCCACGTCTTTGCGTTTGATATTCAAAGTGCCGAACGACTCGTTTTTCATGGCTTTCGTGAACAACGGCGGCGTTTCGCCGAAGAAGTAGTAATCATCGTCTTTCTCCGTCTCATTCGTGCCGTCGATATCTTTGTCCCAAAAGGTTTCCTTCACTTCAGACCTGTAGTACTCCTCATAGCAATCGTTATTACAAATACCTTTTATACTGCATTCCGAGTGTCTGGCGATTTGCTGGTCAAAGGCTTTAGTGTTGTGACAGACGTCAGTGCTGTTGACGATTTGTTTGCAAAACTTTCGGGACTGCATCCAATTGGCGTCCGTTGTGTTTGGTAGCCATTTGGTCATACGCTCGCCTTCGCTGTGTTTGTAGACACAGCCGCATCTCCGCAACAATTTCCGGGACAAACACTTGTCAATGCATTCATAATTGGATTTATACCATCGCCAACGCTTCTGATCCTGATAGATGCGACAGTCGGTATTGTAGGGCCAGCCCAACAACCTTTGGTTAGTCTGCGAGACCAACAAATCAAAGTTTGTGCCTGGTTTTATGGTAGCCCTGTCCAGCGATATAATATAGCTGAGAGCCTTTGGGTGGTAGGCTATAGCGTACATTTGGGGAACGTACGGATCCCCGTCCTCAGAAGGCGGCACATCATCTATAGTCATGTC